ACTACGATTTGAGGTGAGATATAAAGAATCATTGTCCATGAAAGTTGAATTTGGAATTCAAAGCTTCTTTTTATTTAATACTTCTCTGTGCTTTTTATGAAGGGGGGCGTTCTAGTCTCTATACCTTCAGTGTTATTGCATCAACATCCTGTTGTTTGAAATTTAAAAATATTCAACTTCTCTATGAATAAAAAATCAACCATATGCTCACATATTCAACTTTTCCCCTCTTCATAGTGGATATGAAGTGGAGATGATGGGGGCTGAAGCTAAGGACTCCGAAGAAGAAGACATTCCTGCACAATCATATGTAGAGAGAAATTTTGTTACCACTCCTCACAATTTAAAAAGTTTCCATCAATCTCTTTCAAAGCAGGACTGTTTAAATTTAACCACTTCAAGTATTGGGACATCTCCAAAAAATACAAAAACTCTTCTGCGATCCTTCAAAAAGCAATATCAATCTGAAGACCTAAATCTGAGTGGCTCTAGAACTTTATCAGACGAAAACCCCAAAAAGATATCACCTGCTGGAAATGGATCCGAACCTCCTGGCCGTCTACTAAAAAGTGATGCACGCGCATCTGGCACTAGTTGCACCAAGCAAACTACTCCTGACAAGACTAAAAAAACTTATTCTCGAAAGGGCCAAAGGAAAAACAGTCTTGTTGTGGAAGAAGTGAAAAGAGAAATTGTAACTCCTCCCAGTGTAAATGCAGGAAGAGATAATAAGAGCCAAATCATAACATCACGTGATAATGAGCGCGATGAGAGTTCTGCTTTACCAGAGAAAAGAAACTCAGCCACTCTATCCAGGAGTTCAAAAAAACTAAAGGAAACTCGTGCACAAGGAACTGAGGGATTAGTGGCTGTTCATAATGCAAATAATGCACCCATTGTTCCTAAAAAGAGGTCTCCTGTTCACATCTTCAACAATGATGCTCCAGATACTGCCAAAAAACTTTGCAGCAAGGAAACACATGAAACTCATTTTACTGAAACTATGGAAGATGTCTGTACAGGTGTCAAAAGGCGAGAAATCAAAGCCACATCACCTGCAAGCAGAACGGAAGGTGAAAATAGTATTGAGTTCACTGACCAAAAAGTACCCAAAGAAGCAAGAATGTCAAAACCGCAGTCTAGAAAGCTTGGGAAAGAATCTCTTTCCACGAAGACAGAGAAATACAATAAGACGTCTGTTAAAGGGCCTGCTAGAAATCAAAAGGGATCTATATTTCAAAACAAGGCCGAAGAGTCTGCAGTCAATTTGACTGGAGGGGAAAAGGTGAAATGTAATGAAGATATAAACTGTGAGAAGGTTGAGATTCCTTATTTGCATAATCAAGATACTATATGCAAAGAGTCTGGCGAAAGTGAATCTTTAGTATCTGACGCTGATCAAACTCGAGACTTGTTTGATAATACTGAAGCTCCAAATGACAAAGGCGAGTTACATGTCGCAGTCCTTGATGATAAGCCCAATTATGTCGAATCACCACATTCAGTAGGGGAAGGTAACATGTGCAAGACAGACAATGAGGCTCGTGATAAAATGGTTGGTCAGACTGATTCTATGAACAATGTGACAGGGCTTATAAAAGAGATGAAAGACACAACATGCACATCAAGTAAAACTAATCAATCCGTATCAATTGCCAAGAAACCAAAACAATCTAAAGAAGGTTCTACGAAGAAAAGAGTCACAAGTGGAAAGAGTAAGGCAGTAGCACACAAACAAACAAACAATTTCATGGAAGCTGACAAGGAAAACATGCCAAGTGGTGTTACCAGAGAGCCCACCATGGACTGTGAGATACAGGGGGAGGAAAAATTTACCCAGGGGGCTCATAAAAAACCTTGCAAGGCTAATGACAGAGAGGGGCAAGGAAATGCTATAGAAGGGTTATCTCTGAGCAATATGGAACATGGAGTTGGAGGAGTGACCTCTTTGACGTATAAAGTGCCTAATGAAGGGATGAGAAAAACAGAGAATAGATATTTCATAGTTTCTGGGCATAGGCTGCAGAGGAAAGAGTTTCATATGGTCATCAAACGTTTAAGAGGGAGATCATGCAGAGATTCTCACCAGTGGTCATATCAGGCAACTCATTTCATACTTCCAGATCCCGTTCGCCGGACTGAAAAGTTTTTTGCTGCTGCTGCTTCTGGAAGGTATCTCTATCACCCTAAATATATAGTTTCTAATATAAATAAGAAAGGTTAACTTTACAATTTTTTCCATCCTTTGCAGGTGGATACTGAAGGTAGATTATCTAACTGCTTGCAATGAGGCGGGTAAATTCTTGGAAGAGGAACCATTTGAATGGCACAAGAAGGGACTATCCGATGATTTAGCCATCAGCTTAGAAGCACCAAGGAAATGGCGACTCTTGAGGGAAAGAACTGGTCACGGCGCATTCTATGGGATGCGGATTGTGACATATGGAGAGCTTCTTCTGCCATCACTGGTATGCACCACTTTTTGTATTAACTAATCAGCCTATTTTAACTTCACGGATTTTGGTGGATACAAAAAGTTAACATTTGTACCAACCTTTTAATGTCTGTCTGTCTCGACAAAAATTCAGTTTAGGTAAGCAGCAATAACCGTCCGTTTAGGAGATCCCCTCATGCATGTTTTTTTAATGATGATGAACCAGGATACATTGAAGCGGGTGGTCAAGGCTGGAGATGGCACTATTTTAGCAACCTCTCCGTCATACACTCGCTTCCTCAAGTCAGACATTCACTTTGCTATTGTGGGTCCAGGAATACCACGCCAAGATGTGTGGGTTCAAGAGTTTTTGAGACACAACATACCCTGTGTTTCACCTGATTATTTGGTAGAGTATGTTTGTAAGCCTGGCTACTCGCTGGACAAACATGTTCAGTACAACACCCATGCATGGGCAGAAGAGTCTTTACGGAAGCTGGCAAATTGCCTCTCTGAAAAAATTGAAGACATCCCACTAGAAGATGATGACGATGATGGAGTGTCACGTACGAGCAGCTCTACAAATCAGACATCAAAATCGAAGAGGAAGCGATAAGCTTCTAAGCTTCTGTTGTGGTTTGTAGGTGTAATAAGATACTAATAATAATACTAATTTTATGTTTTACATTTGTAGGTTACGAATTAGAAGTAGTTATTTTTGCCATTGCTCTACTCGGTCCTAATTTATTCCGTGCTGGATAAACTGTTTAGGCTCTTGGGTCTTGGCCTAATGCTTCCTCTTGCTCGACCATTTCACTCATTTTCTATTGACATTCTATCGTACAGTATAGCGTGAAACTTGCCTGTTGTAATTCTATATACATGAGTCTCCCTCAATACCATTTTCCATATTATATTTTAACTTTTAAGGTAAAAGTTAAAATATAACATCGTTATCACATGTCAATAGAATTTGCTTATTCTCTCTTTGCCTAATGTCCTTTATCTATTAACACCGAGTATCAACTGTAACTCTCTAATCATTTTTGCACGTTAATTCTTTTCTTTATTTTCTATGGTGTGATTTCCTTCCTCGATCTCCCGTGTTAAACAAATTAGAGGTTACTTCACGTTTTAATGCAAAAAGTCCAAGATCAGGATTGTCTGTAAATGTGATTTGGAATGATATTAACTAGGCCTGGACTCGGGCCGGTTCGGGCCCGGTTCGGGCCTGGGCCCGGCCGGGCCTCGGGCCAGGAAATGGGAGGCCCGGGCCCGAACCGCCGGTGGCCGGTTCCGGTCCCGGTTCCGGGCCAAACCGGGCCGGGCCGAACCGGCCCACTTTTTTTTTTTTTTTTTTTTGTTCTCCTATTTAATCCCCTACCCCTCCCCCTCAACCCCAAACCACCCCAAACCACCTCAAATGGCCCAAAATACCTATTCCAACCCAAAACTTTAAAAAAATTTCAAAAAAAAAAAAAAAATTAAAATCCGGCCCGGACCGGGTCCGAACCGGCCGGGCCGGTTCACCATTTCGAAGGCCCGGGCCCGGAACTGGGAACCACCGGGCCGGTTCGACCCGAACCGCCGGTGGACCGGGCCACCGGGCCGGGCCGGTTGCTACAGTGGCCGGGCCGGGCCGCCCGGCCCGAGTCCAGGCCTAATATTAACAGTTCAAATTAAGATATTCACCTATACTTTGATTTTAAATTACTATTTTGAAAATATAATGTCATTTTCGAAACTTAGGGGGTTTTCAATTGGATTGAAATTTCAAGTGTGATATGGTCTTGTTTGAATTGGTCTATTCTGGCATGATAGATGTCTAGTATATGTGTATTTTGTAATTGTCAAAGTCTAGTTTGATCTGTTTAAGACTTTAAGTATTATGATTTATTCTGGGATCGAAAAAATAAAGTTCAATATCTGAATTTTTAACTTTGTGATTCGTACCTGATATCAATGTGTCAATTTGGGTCACTCAAGTATATCTTAATTTAATTAATACTGAGGAAACTTCAAACAGAGTAACACAAATTTGTGAAGTATTTAGTGTGCAAAACCAACCATTTGGTGTATCTGTAAATCAATTTGTGCAATAACCATTAATGTTTTGCTACACTGATATATTTTCATAAATGTAAAATTTCTATGAGGTCTTTCACCCTAACCATTAATATCTTACCCTCTTGTTCAACAAATCATGCAATTGAGCTCAAGGGAAGCAAATTACGCATTTACACTTGATAAGAATACAACAATTAACTATGTTGCACGCAAACGGGAAAACCATGAGGAAATGAGAAACAAGAAACGTCAATTTTTGCTCAAAAAAGGCTTGTTTGAAAAGTTTTCAAAGAGTTTCCGTAAGCTTCGGAAACACAAACGCTCTTCCCGAGAGTTTATGTGCTACATAGACATCTATATCTATATCTACCTCTATATAAAAAGAGGTGGATTTTATGGCAAATTTCCCGCTCAAAAATGTCACATCATTGGTCAAAGGATCCGTTGGTCCATATATCAAAGGTCATTTTCTAATTATGTAATGTTCATTTAATTGATTGTCAGAGTGTTGTCATTCTCAGTCACCCGTAAAGACTCTTAGCATTGGGCGTGGAGCAGGCAAAGGCAAAGACCTTCAAAGCATCCGACATCTAGGAGGCAAAGCAGTGTCGCATCCACTACGGCCAGAGACGGTGGCTACTGCACAGGCCGACTGAGACTGCTCGCCACCAGGTACCTCTACAATCGATTTTCCTTTTCAGCAACTGTGGCCGCGAAAATTAACGGGGCGGAGGGAAACCAGCAAAATCGAGTGGAGGTTGTTCCGAGGAGGAGGCTAGGCCGGCGAGGTGAGTAGTGAACTGACAGCCTCTGCGTCTCTGGGATCTGGCTCTGCGGCTTCCTACTTCAAGAAGAAGAATACGGACAGGGGCTTCTGGTGTCAAGATACGGTCTCAATTCTTTGAACTTGACAGGTATAACCATAGTCCACTCCTTATAAGATTCAACTAATAGTACGAAGTACATTGTTCCATCCATAGCAATAGGGAATTGAGACGATTCAGGTAGTCTTCAAGCTCCAAAAACAACTGTTCCTTCTGTTTTAGGATTCACCTGCTATTCAAGAAACTATCTGCACTCAAGGTATCCAAATATCATAGTCTCAATATGTATATTTGAGTATACACACATATGTATGTATCCAAACACACGCACACACAAACCCAGTAAGTTGTTTTGTACTCCGTTTGCATTATTTGTATGTGTACGTATCAAAATACCAAACCAAGGCGTTGAAGCTTTTCCACTCCAAGATGTGGAAAAACAGTTATTGTAATTTGTATTTGTATTGTAAAGAACCAAGGATTGATTAATCCAAGAGTGCTTGACATTGATCTTGCTATGTTTAAAAGAGATCATATTGAAGTAATGAAGTGTTCGATAGAAATGTATTGTAATGTGATTCTGAAAAAATGATGAAAAGAACATGAGGTTCACCTGAGCAAGCTTTATAAAAACTCGGAGAAGGTTATTTAAAAACCACATTAGTGAGAGGGAAAAAACTAGGATAGAGAGGAGTGAAAGAAGACAACAGAGGAGGATAGGTTATACAGTTATACTAACTTGAATTGATTTTATTAAGGGTATTTGGTCCAAAAGATACTGATAGAGTATTAATTCTAGAGAGAAGTGAGAGCTAGAGAGAGAAAGTGAGTAATTGTATTTCTCAACTTGGAACCCCTATAATTAGCCCCATGGGGTCTATTTATAGGAAAAAATGTGGATTTGGGCTCCTAGCCATGGGCTTAGGAGGCCCATTACAATAATCATGCCTTCTTTGGGCGAAATAGGGCCACTAATGGGCTGTGTACAATACTTAGTAAATAAAGTAGATAAAGTAGAGAGATGCCTTCTGCCCCGTGCGAAGCCGGGCCGATGCGGTGCCTTTTTGGCCGATGCGGTCCCATGGCCGATGCGGTCCATGGGCCGATGCGGTCCCGGGAGTCCATGCGTGCTTCCTGGGCCGGTTTGGTTTCTGGCCGACGCGGACCCACTGGCCGAAGGGGGCCGCGTGGGTGTTCTTCTGGCCATCGTTGACTTGAGTATGTGGGCCATGGGGTCCGGGCCCATATACTTTATCAGGAGTCCCCCACTCTCTGAGCTGAGGCGAAGCCGAAGCGAAAGGGAGTATTTGTTCCTTCCTGGCTGGCCGTCGCGAGAGTTTGAGGCGCTTGGTGGCCGAAGAGTATCTGCCTTGATTTTGGATGAAGCGGCTTCTTCTTTTGATGTAGACGTAGCGCGCTTGAGGTTCCACAGCCTTGGTGCGGCCGGTGCGCTCCCTGTGAAGTGTCTTGAGGATGATGCGCTCTCTTTTTTGTAGATGATGTGATGAATTCTGGTGTGGATAAATTGACATGCTTTCGTCGTCATCTTGTTGGGGCCGAAGAGCTCCCCATCCCTTCTTTTGGCCGTAGCGGTGACATGGTTTTATGGAGCAAAGGTGTTTGGTCTCGTTTATGTGGCCGAAGCGCTTTTGACTTGTGTATCCTTGCTTTAGTGAGCCGACACAATCCCTGGTGTATGTAGCCGTTGCGCGCTGGATTTTATTTTCGGGTTTTAACTTTTTGGGCTCTGTGGCCGGCGCGATTTGTAGTGCTATTAGAGGTAGCTGATGCGACTCTCAATGTTTATTTGAGGTGATTTGTCCGTCTTTTGTTGGTGAGCCGTAGCGCACCTTTTTGCTTTCAGGCTGTTGTGCTCTTTTTTATGTTGTTTCCGTTCCTGTGGCCGATACAGTCCCCCAGTCCCCCACTCCTTTGGCCGAAGAGTATTTGAGGCACAATGGAGTTATGATGTTCTCGGGCCGATACGGTATCTCATGCGTTAGTCGTGAGTCCAACCCTTAGGCGAACCTGTCCAAGGTAACCCTGTGGGAGAACCCTTGGACGACGGCCGAGATACCAGGGTCATCATCAAACGATGTGCGCGTGAATAGCCGTAGCGGTACTTGTGTTTCTTGGGGTTGCTTTGGGGCCGTAGCGTGTTTTCCTTGGTTTTGAGTGAGTAGGCCGGTGCCTACCCCTAGTTTTGGGGCCTGTTGGGCCGTGGCGGTGGCCTTAATGGGTGGAATGTGGAAAGACATGCGTTTGATTGGTTCTAGGGGAGGCGCCGTTGAGGTGGCCAATTGGAGATCGCCACGTGTAGTGACCGTTGTAGGGGGTGTTTATAAATACCCCTGAACTCCGAGGCGATACCTCATTTGTGCTTTTGCTGTTTGTCGAATTGCTGCCCAATTTTCTAGAGAGAGAAAGCTCCCAAGGTTTCTTCAAGTGTTCATCAACCTCCCTTCGGATCTTCAAATCTTCAAGGTCAGATTCTTGTCTGTTCTTCTTTATTTTCTTATACTTTGCTTCCTAGGGGGTTAGATCTAGTGTTCGTAGGGAAATCACTTTGATCCGAAAAACCGCCCTTAGGAATAGGTGTAGGTGTTATGCCGTTCTCTAACGGCCGTAGCGTTCCCTCCCCCATTGATTTGACAGCTTCTTTGGACGAGTCGGATTGGCCCTTCGACGAGGACGATACGTCCCCTGGAGTTGATCTGCGGTTGATAGAGGCCTTCGAGGTCGAAATGGAAAACACAGCCGACTATCGTACTTCCGTAGATGAGGAGAGAATGAGTGCCGATGCGGGAGCGCATCTTTCTGGTGAGGACGAGGCGGTATCTAGCTCGCCTCTGAGAGGGGATGAGGCATCCTCTTCTGCCAACATTCCTTGCCCTCCGCCGATATCGTCCGTAGCGGGGGAAGGCCCCTCAGCTTCCAAGACGAAAAGACCGTATCGGCGGAAGCAGCGCAATGGGGTACCGAAGGGGCATTCGCAACTTGACCTCAGCAATTTGTACATCATCAGGCCGGAAGGGACCCTCGGTGAGTATCACGTAGCTCAGTTGTACGTGGGGCCGTATGGACGGGTGCGGGCGCCGAAGCCGACGGATCACGTGCTGAGCCCCCCCTTGGGTTATTTCGGGATATACCCGATGAGCTTTGCGAAGGGGTTGCGGTTCCCTCTCCATCCTTTTATTAAGGAATACCTTGACATGGTGGGTCTGCCTCCGGCCTTGCTGACGCCCAATAGTTACTCGCTCATCGTCGGCTTCCTTATCCGTTGCGGTGAGCTGGGGTTTTCGCCGACGATTGCACTTTTCACCAATCTGTACCGGATAGGCCGAGGGAGCCATCAGAATTGTGCCGGCTATGCCGCTTTACAGCAGGTCCCCAAGAGGAGGACGTTTACAGACCTTCCTTCATCAATTCATGGCTGGAAGGCGAAGTTTGTCTTTGTTAACCTTGGCCGAGGCGGTTACTTCCCGTCTGCCGGTCACAGCGGTTTATTTGAGTTGCATAATCCTCCGTGGAATGCCGAGATCAGTAGGCAGGTGGAGGCTTTTATCAAGGGCGGTCCGAGGAGCGTAACGACTTACATCACTGAGTATAGGATGGCCGCCCTTGGCTTCGTAAGATATTACTGCCCCGGCGATGTGGACGACGACCTCTGGCCGAGGATGGAGGGGTCTTATGAGCAAGCCGACGGTCCCTCACTTGGTGTCCCTGCCGAAGCCGAAGGTTGTCCTTCGTCTGCTTTCCCTTCTTGTAATGTGTTTAGTTATTGCCTTACTGATTTTGCTCTTCTGTGCAGGTTTTGTCATGGACCGCATATCTTTTATGGCTCGAGCTGCCAAGAAGGCCGATGCGGAGCTCAAGGCCGCTCGGGCTGCCGAGAAGGCAAAGGCCTCTGCTGGCGGTTCCCAGGGAGGGGGTGAGGCCGTCAAAAAAGCTGCTCCTAAGAAGAAAAGAGGAGCTGATGAAGGTCAGAAAACTCTGGCCGAGGCGGGTCTGAAACCACAGGCCCCAAAGAAGACGAAGAGGGTTCCAACGACTGATGAGGCCGGCGCTCCTTCTCAGGCTGTCGTGGATGTCCAGCCCCCGGTGGTCCCTCCCGTGAATGAGCCACCCTCCTCGGCCGTGGTGGCTTCGGCTTCTCGCGTGCTTCCCTCTACGGCTGCTGCTGCCCGTCTAGAGGAGGCCCTTGCCAAAGGGACGTACGAGGTAACAGTGCGTTACCCTGTGAAGGGCGGTCTTTTTAACGAGACCGTCGGTGGCGACGACGTGCTTGCTCAGGCTATGCCTGAGTATGATCGTCAGTACCTCGGCCGACAAGGCCAACATGTTCGGCTGTACGACGGAGGGATAGACTACGTCGTCCAGGTAAGACATTTTCCTCTATAACTTTTCCTTTGCTTTTGTTTTTTCATCTCTAACTTCGTCTTGCTCCGTCCAGGGTGCCCTTATGCTGAGGGAGCAGCATTGGAGGCAGGAAGCCGAGATAGAGCGGCTGAAGAAGATGGAGGCCAAAGCTGCTTCAGCCGATGAGGCCCTTCAAGATCTGAGGGACAAGGCCAAGGCTGCGGAGGATGAAATGAAGCTCCTTCAGATGCGCCTTGATGAGGCCGAGGCTGCCCGGAAGAAAGCTGATGAGGCCGTTGCCGCTGCTACCCGAAGAGCTGAGGAGGCGGAGTGCCTCAAAGCTGACGCTGAGAAGGCCGCCGAGGAGGCCGTAGTGAATTTCAAGGCCGAGGGGTGGAAAGCCGAAGATCAGGTCCCCTTCTGCTATGAAGTGGTGGCCGAGAGGCTCACTGATTGGGTGACAAAGGACCCTGCTGGCGAGGACTTCTGGATGAACGAGACGCGAGCCTTCTACAACTGCGGCCAGTACAGGATGCAGAGGCTGATTTATAGGAAGCTTCGTCGTCGCTTCCGGAAGATGAGGCCGAGGGGTTTGAGCCTACCCCGGCGGATGAGAAATCCTGATGAGGATATGAAGCTCCCCCCGTCGGAGAGGCAGCCTCCGATTCTCAGTTCGGACGAGGGGGAAGCGTCCTGGAGTGAAAGTGACGATTATCTGCTTGAGGGCTCAG